TAGACGACAAGAATTCAGTAAGTACACCATGTAGTCAAAATATAATTGTGATTCTTTATCTCTTCATTTCTTTGAGTCGTACTCTTCATGGAATCTATCATTTCACTTCCAAAATTGTCGGTGTATTTTATCACCTTTGATGACATCGGATGTCCTTAAATTGAATCTTGAAATCTCTATTCTTACCTCTAATGTGAATTGGTTTTCATGTCCTTATGAAAGATCTTCTCATCATTGGTATGACTGTATCTATCTTTTGAGTCAACATCTTGGCCTTTGCACCTTTAAAGAAAGTCTTCACTCAGCTTCAAATTTCTTCCTTCATTGGACTTCTTTCTTCATGGATCGGTCTTCAATCAGTTTCAAATTTCTTCATTCATCGGATGTCTTTTTTCATAGACTGTCTTCAATCTGTTTAAGATTTCTTCAATCATCGAATGTCATTCTTCATGAATCATTTGAATGTTTTTAGATCTCCCGATTTTTACTACATGGTTAAGAATTTCTTACCTCATTATGACCAGCCTTCTTATTAGTCAATCACTTGTGAATTAACACCTTTGGATGACATGAAGATGCAAATGCAATAAATCCAAAATAAAATGGACATAAAACCAAAATGGGTTAGTACACATAATATAAACAACAAAATAATAAGCATCGTAATCATTAAATAAAACCTACCCTCACATGTTGGCTACGCAATCATGCTTTAGTAGATCCTACCCAACATGATATATACCCCCATGCTTTGTTATTCAAAAAAAAATCCTAACCTCATGATATCTAATTCACAGGCTTTGTACGAAAATATAAAACCTAATCGCATGCTTTTCTAATTCGCATACTTCTTGCAAAAAATAAATACATTCGAGGAAAATGTTAGAATGAGTTTCCCCCTTGTGACTTTTGAAGAATCGCGGACAGAGATTCAGTATAAGACAAGCAGAGGTTTAGTAACACTAACAGGGTCCTCGAATTGTCCTTTGCTGGTGCCCCCTTGGGCTTGCCAGACCCTCGACCCTTACCCATTATAGGCTTAAACGGGTCAAGTTCAGTTCGAGAGGATACATTTCCCTATGTCCATGAGAGGAAACTCAATGTTTCGCTCGTAAACATAAGGCATATGTACCCAGAGGTTACTTACTAAAGCCCATGCGGAGAAAAACAATTTTTCTCATGTAAGCGTAGCGTTCACCTCTACCTAACGGGACAAAGCACAGTTAGAAGGCTCTAAAAATCAAAGGGTTGTAGCGACAGTGGGGAAACTAATAATCCTTTGCCTCGATCCAAGAAAAGCAACAGACTAAAGTGAAGGTCAGAAAACTGAAACATGTAAATCACACATTAGTACAACTATTTATTTATTAATCAAACTAAAAATTAAAATGCAAACAAAATATTTAAAACAAACAAGGGATCAAAAACCAAATTAAAACATACTTATAAATTTCATTTGCAAAGATAATTAATTAATCGACTATCGGCCTGGCTCTCTAAAAGCATCCCCAGTGGAATTGCCAAGCTGTCGTCACCGTTTTTCGGCAGGGACAATCGTTTATTGTTTTAAAAACAGTTACGACTTTAATTTTGGAAAATCCGGTGTTTTGGAATTAAATTGGGTAAAGCTGAAAAGAGTCGCCATCAACCTTTGGGTTAGGTAGGTCGAATACCTAAAAAATCTTTTAAAAACAATTTTAAGAAAAAATCATTTTTAAAACAAAAGCTGGTATGCGTTTACTAAAAATTCAATTAAAACGGGTTCGGGAGTCGATATGCGTGGGTAAGGATTAGCACCCCCACAGCGCCCTAAATCGGTACCTAGTCGATTAATTAATGTCTTTGCAATGAAATTTACAAATTCGAATTTAATTTGATTTATGATCCCCAACAAAACAACAACATACAAATTTTATCATATTTAAAAGCACCCAAATAGATTAAATTAGAATTACCAAGTATTTTAGAAAGATAAAGAATATTTGATCATTTAAAAATATCGAGACCATATCTTAAATAGTTATAACAACATTTTCTTGATAAATTTAAATAGCCGAACATTTCTTTTTCTTCCATTCCCAAGTTTTAAAGTGATGAATCAATTTCTTAAGTATCACTGATGGGATACACATTTATTTTAAAATCGTTAAAAGCGGACCTCGAATAAGTTAAGACGACTCACTTAAAACGATTTTAAATTAAAAGGGTATTACCCTTAATCCAATTATGTAATAATGTCGAGTTATGCACATGAGTATGTCATACGTATGAATATGTCGTCATATGAAAATCCTATATGCAAATAAATGTACATCAAAAGAATCGTGTGAAAACGTGTATTAGGCTATTTAATGGAAAGCTACAAAATACATACATACTACGATTATTTAAAAACAAAGGCTTTATTTGATCAAAAACAAACTGCCTTGAATAAATATAAGCATGCAATTACAATTAATATAATATAGAGTATATATATATATATATATATATACATATATTAAGTCACTTAACCAAGGACTACGTGATACATTAAAAACATATACACTATTTATATATAATGCTTTTAACACATATACACAAATATAAAATATTATATATATATACCATACCAAATTACGTGCATCATGCGACATATATAAGTATATATTTACAAATTACACAACACATACACAGTAAAAAAAATCTAATATGATGACTTGAATGAACAAATGACAAATATGGCAGGCCAAAGTATGAAAACTTAAATATAAACGCAAGAACAACAACAACAACAAAACCAATTCCCATATGCAATGGGGTAAGGGTAGTAGGCTGCCCCCAACGCCAGGTTGAGAGTAGCTTCCGTGGAAGACCTCCGACAGTCAGAAAATTAAAAATATAGATAAAATGCAAAACATGTATAAATAAATACATAAATACATAGTTGAACAGTATTCATATGCAGTCATAAATATCATTAATATCATATGCGCGTTTGAAATGGGAAGTAATCCCTGCAAATAAATCTCTGCATACAGACAGAAACGTAAGACCCGACTAAATTTAAAAGTGAAGAGAATATTACACAGAAGTCCACGATAGCAAGCCCAGTTCTAAGCCTTCATAAATACCAATAACAGAAACGTATAAAAAGTAGAATTCATGGAAATTACTACAAAGACATTAAAAGAAGACAGAGATGATACACCCTAGAGATGTGACCCACACTACTCGACTACCCTAGTCTTTAGTCTCCATACTTTCCTATCAGAGGTCATGTCATCGGTAAGGGCTAAATCTATCAAATCAGATATAAATCAAATCAGATTCTAATGAACAAAACTAAGATTAAATTATACGTACATAAAGGCTAAATAAAATTAGTGCATAAAGTGTAAGGTGCAAATAAATAAATGCAGAAAATTTAGGGGATTAACTAAGCGAACAGCATATTAAATTAACAATAAAGATAAGGACTAAATAAAATAAACCAAAACCCCAAGGATGAAATCTACGAACAATAGAAGCTATAAATAAAACATGCATTCGGGACTTAATCGAAGTAAACTAAAAATTTACAAGCTAAATCAATAAACATTAAAAGGTAACAAATCAAAAGAGGGACTAAAATGGAAATACCAGAAAACTATGAAGGATCACGGAGAGCATTTGCTCCTTTAGCCTTTGAAATGGATTCCACCGAGATTGGTCTCCAGACTCCAAGTTACTTTAGGAATATAAAATACATATATATATTTTTAACATATTTCATTCCCCAATTTCAAATTGAGATTAACACAAAACAAAGTTCTTCACAGGTTCATCCCAAACCCAGAAAACGATACTCTCCATCGTTCCTCAACCACGTCTCCATCGTGAGTTGACTCCGACAACCACTCGTCGGCGTCAGAGAAAGGGGAGACCAATATCAACCGAAAAATCTCCATTCTGAGCATAGATCCAGACCACGATGGGTCTAAAACGCCTCCAAACGCTGCAGATAGTGATGCTTGGAACTCCAATGACTCAAATAAGCTAGGTAAAATTCTAATTCCTATTTTATTTCCTGGTTATATTTCATTTCCATATACACACAAAACACTGAAAAATAAAGATGAGAAATACCCAAAAAAATGGCGTATTTTGTATTGCTTCTTGAATTACAAAAAAATGAAAATAGGAATCAACTCTCCTGTTTACACTGTCTTTCCTCTTTTCCCCGTGTAAAAACCGAGCCCCCTTGTTCGAACAGATTTTCCTCCCCCCGTTCGAATGGTTCCCTTGTTTATTTATGCTTGTTGAGCAATGATTGTTCCACTAGTGTTTATTTAATGGAAATTAGGTTATACTGGAGTAGGTTTAGTGGAGTGAAAATGGGATGGTACTTGGTGGAGCATGGGCACGTGAATTGTAGAGTGGGTGGAGTGTGGTGGAGTGGGTGGATGGATGATAATATTTTTTATTTTTTTTCTTGTTCATTGATGGGTGATGACTCGGTTATTGTCTGCAGATGAGTGGGAGTATGGGTAGTGGTAGGATATAATAAAAATAGTGCCTAAACTTTTTTTCCATGTTCCTACCTTACCGGTTAAATTATTCGGGTGTAAAGCCTTTGGCCATAACCATCAACCCAACCTATCTAAACTTGACTCTCGTGCTCATACTTGTGTTTTTGTTGGCTACTCCCCTACGCAAAAAGGGTACAAACGTTACTCACCTACTTTGCATCGTACATTTGTTTCCCGAGATGTAACCTTCTTTGAAACAGAACCATATTTTTTAGCAACTCATCTTCAGGGGGAGATTCTCAATGAAGATGAGAACCTCAATACCCTCCTTATTACTCCACCACCCGATCCTAATCTACCACAAAATTTTCATACAAATGACATCCTCATAGTCCCCTCACAGCAGCCCTCTTCCCAGCAGCACGATGATGATCCTAGTCTGCAGAAACAACAATAGCTTGCTCCTGAAACTCAGCAACTCTGTGCTCCTGAACTCCGGGTTTATTCAAGGCATCATTACTCTCCTGAAACTGACATAGCAGTTCCAAATTCATCTCCAACCATCGACTGTTCTACAACAGAGGTAACCCCTGATTCTCCATCTATTGATCTCCCAATTGCTATTCGAAAAGGTGTAAGGACCTGCACCCAACACCCTATCTCTCAGTTTGTGTCTTATGGAAATCTATCCAAGTCATACAAAAACTTTGTGACAAATATTGACCATGTAAAAACTCCAAGGGATGTGAAGGAAACTCTTGAATCAACCGAATGGAAACATGTTGTAATGGAAAAAATGAATGCTCTAAAAAACAATGGAACATGGGAAATCTCGGATCTGCCTTAAGGGAAAAAAACAGTAGGCTGCAAATGGATTTTCACCACCAAATTCAAAACTGATGGAACTATTGACAGGCACAAGGCTCGACTTGTGGCAAAGGGATTCACTCAGACATATGGGCTCGACTATGATGAGACCTTTGCTCCTGTTTCCAAACTTAATACTATTCGGGTTCTTCTATCACTTGCTGCAAATCTTGATTGGCCTTTGACTCAGTTGGATGTTAAAAACTCCTTCCTAAATGGTGAATTGGCCGAGGAAGTGTATATGGACTTTCCACCAGGATTCGAAGAAGAAAAAAGTTGGGTATGCAGGTTAAAGAAATCACTATATGGGTTAAAACTATCCCCAAGAGCTTGGTTTAGTCGATTTGCCAAAGCTATGACCAGCAGGGCATATACCCAAAGACAAGCTGACCATACCATGTTCTACAAACATTCAAAGGAAGGTAAACGCTCCATCCTTATAGTCTATGTTGACGATATCATTCTAACATGAGATTATTCGAATGAAATCAGATGCCTAAAAGAGTTCCTTAGCAATGAATTTGAGCTTAAGGACTTGGGAAATCTAAAATACTTCCTTGGAATGGAAGTAGCAAGGTCTCGAACAGGTATCTCAATCTCTCAACGAAAATATGTTCTAGATTTACTAAGGATACTGGCATGTTAGGTTGCAGACCTGCAGAGACCCTGATGGAATTCAATTTGAAACTTGGAAATAATGAAGATGGAGAGGAAGTAGACAGGGGGAGATATCAACGACTTATGGGAAAACTTATATCTATCCCACACTCGTCCTGACATTGCTTTCAGTGTGAGTGTTGTCAGCCAATTTATGCATAACTCAAGGGAGAAACATCTAGAGGTTGTCCATAGGGTGTTGAGATACTTGAAGGGAACCCCGGGTAAGGGCCTATACTTCAAGAAAACAAATAACCGATATGTAGCATCTACACAGATGCTGATTGGGCAGGTTCAGTGAATGATAGAAGGTCTACAAGCGGTTACTGCAGTTAAGTGTGGGGTAACCTTGTGACATGGAGAAGTAAAAACCAATTTGTTGTAGCCTGCAATAGTGCTGAAGCTGAATATCGACACGGTATATGCGAGGGAATTTGGATACAACGACTAATGAGGGAATTAAAATGCCTCACATCATACCTATGAAATTGTACTGTGATAACCAGGCAGCAGTGAGCATAGCATACAATCCGGTTCACCATGATCGTACCAAACATGTAGAAATAGATCGCCATTTTATCAAAGAAAAGATCGAATCAGGGGAAGTATGCATAACCTATCTACCAACTAAACAAAAAATTGCAGACTTGTTTACTAAGAGCCTAAACAAGAACATGTTTGAAGATCTCACTAGCAAGCTGGGTTTGATGAACATCTATACACCAGCTTGAGGGGGAGTGTTGGAATTCCAAGAATCAAGGAACAATATCTCTTTTCTTAATTCTAGGAGTTTGCCTTATGTAAATAGTCAACTAATCTAATTCCCTGATCTTAGGAATTATTTCCTAACATAGAGTAGTTCTTCCTTATAAATTGTAATTTACGTTTAGAGCAAAAAAGTACGAATTTCATTTCTTCTCACATTTGTTCAGCACCCATACAGACTAGCATAATGCTCCAGTCCATTCTGTTCCACTTTAATTCCTATCACGACAGACTTGTTGAAGTTGATTCTCAAACCTGAACAAGCCTCAAAACCTCTTAGGATGCACTTCACATTCAATAAGCTCTGCTCGTTCGCTCTAAGGAACAATATGGTGTCATCTGCAAGCTGAAGATGAGACAATGATAAACCAGGAACGATATTGCTTACACCCTCAATTTTTCCTGACAAAACTGCCTTCTCAAATAACTTATGAAGGGCTTCAGTAACCAGAATAAATAAAAACGGAGAAATCAGATCCCCATGCCTCAACCCTTTCTTCGATTGAATTTCCTTTGTCTGTGACCCGTTTAAAAGCACTGAAATTCTTACTATAGACACACATTGAAAATTCCACTCCCTCCATTTTTCCCCAAAACTCATCCTAGTATCATCATAAAGATCCCAAAAAATGCAATCATAAGCTTTTGGAAAATTTGGCTTAAAGATGATGCCCCCTTTTGATGTGCATCCTTTTGTAACGAATGAATCACCTCATTTTCTGTTAATATTCCATCGAAAATTTGCCTTCCAGAAACAAAAGCACAATGAGTTTCGCTCACCAGCTTTGCTATAAACTTTCTCAATCTACTCGATAAAACGTTCGCAAGAATTTTATAAATTGAGCTTATCAGACTAATCAGCTTGTAATCCGATATATTACTCGGGCTCTTCGATTTTGGAATGAGGGCAATGAAGATCGAATTTATGTTTCCTTTAAAATATCCCCTGCTATAAAAATCATCAATGACTAATCAATTTTGATTTAATAAAGCTCCAACACTTCTTGTAAAATAACATGTTAAAACCATTAGGCCCCGGGGCTTTAGAGTCGTCATAACTCCACACCGCTTCCTTCACCTCATCCACCGAGAACGATTTCCCTAATTCATTTGCTTCGTCTGTTAAAAGATGACAAATGTTTAGCTCATATACCACCGACCAATTCCTCCTATTTCGACTGAAGTGATTTTCAAAGTGTCGTAACACTTTTTCCTTCAGCCTAGCAAGATTGTCCCTTCCTCCAACCCCTAATTTTGCCCCACAAAAAACCCCCTCTTTGCCCAAATTTTGACTACCTTATAAAAAAATGCAGAGTTTCTGTCACCCTCCTTTAGCAATGAAATTCTAGCCTTTTTCCTCCGTAGGTCTTCTTGCACTTTCAAGGTATCCCACAATTGGATTTTACACCTTTTTAGTTCCTCTATGATGACTTGAGAAACATCATTCAAACTCCCCAATTCTTCGATCATTTATCTGTTTTACCAACTCCTTTACTCTTTTATCAAAATTTTCACATTACTCCAGGTTCCAACTTTTTAACATTGCCTTCACTTTTTTAAGCTTCTCGTGTAAACCATTCCAACCATCCTTTGAATCCTTCATTGCCTATTCAATCTTGATGATGCACTCTCTTCTATCACTTCTTTTCCTTTTAATCTCGAAATCTAAAGAAGCATCATCAGATCCTCCCGAGTTGTTCACCATTAATTCATTATTCCCACTTTCTCTAGAATCCTCTGTTATCATTTCAACCTCTTGATTGCCCACCGACACATGGTTAACTCCAACATTAAATTTGTCATCTAGCCCCGTGGGACAGTCTTTTGAATTCCCCGGCAACGATTTCTGATCTGAGAACTTATCATAATCCGGGTAATGAAGGTCGTTTTGTAGAAACCCGTTTTTGTCCGGGTCTTTTTTTCATTTTATTTCTATTATTTATTATTATTATTATTATATTACAAATTTTTACAGGCTCAAACCCGGAGCCTAATTACAAGGGACCCAAATGAAGCCCAATCGACCGAGCCCAAACTCATCACTCAGCAGCCCACTCGACAGGCCCAATCCAACAGACAACATACCCGACCCAGCGTCCATGATCAAGACCCGATTAGAGACCCGGTTCCCTAGGGTTTTTGAAACCCTAACCCTAGGGATATCATCAGCTCAGCCGCCGTCGCCTCTTGGTTTTCCAGCTCCCACCGATGAGTGAGCCGTCACCGATCCACCGAGCCGGCCAAACAGCAACCAAGCGTCATCCACAGTAACCCCATCAGTTCCAAATCAAACCAAATCAAAGGAAATAGTAAACCAATCAAAACCCCAAATTTAAAATACCCTAAATCTCAAAATTTTGGGATTTCTCCAAAAATCAGAAAAATAATTAACCCTATTCCTAAACTTCATCGTCTCAACCAAAGGCAACATTAAGACACATGCAAGGGGAGATAAAGGGAGAAGAACCGATTCGGAAAAAAAAACCAGAAAAAGAGCCATTTGAAACAAAACAAAAAACTTACCCTTTTTATTGAACCCAACGTTGCTTGGTTCGATCGGAGACGAGGGAAACACGTTATCAAAGGTGCTAAGTAAGTGATATATTTAGGGTTTTGAATAGATTTTTTAGTTTGAAGGGTCAAAGGGTCATTATTTTAGGGATAAGGAAGAATAGGGTAGAAAGTTAGAGGCTTTTGGGTGTTTGGGGACCCGTGGCCACCGATTTACGGTGGACGAGGTGCTGTTCTCCTCTTCTGCAGTGAAGGAGAAGGGGAGGTAGAGAGGAAAATGGTGAGAACGACTGTGGGGGGCTTGAAAATGAATTAGGGTTTGAGAGAAAACCGTTAAGAGGGATTATATCCCAGCCACTAAACGCTGTCGTTTAAACGGACAAGGATTCAACATGTTTTGGGTTAAGGTTTAATATCAATATTAGTCCTTGTTGTTTTGTAACATTGCACGTGTGTTTTCAAGGTTTGGGGATTAATGTCAGTAGAAATCCCTTCATTTTATAATGTCATATGTATTGGTCACTTATTAAAGGAAAAATAACATGTTTAGTCCCTGTTTCTTTGTGTTCTCATACCCGTGTTTTTTTATATTTCTAGGGAAAACCACATTTTTGGTCCCTCAATCTTTTCTATGGGTTGTAATCTGGTCACTTTAATGAAATTTCATCATTCCATTTTGAGCTCTTATTTTATTTTGGTTGTAATTTCATCCTTATTTGCTCTTAAATATTTTTGTGTTTATATTTCGGCCTAGATCATTATACTTTAGTTTGTTTATTATTTATGCGGTACATGTTTATATTAATTTATTTTAGTCACTGTGTTATGTATTATATATATATCTTGTAAATATTTGACATTGATCCCGATGTTTTTAAATGTTTCATTCTAATCACTGACCTTGTGATATATTATTTTCATTAATGTTCCAAACTGGTCATGAAATTTATTTTTCTTTCGTTTTAATTACTGTATATTATGAATGCATTTTGGTTTAACTATTTATTTTTCCCTTTTTGATTTCTGTTTTATCTATTTTAATCCCTAAGTTTATGTTTTAGCTATTTCAATCCTTTAAATTCTTGTTTATATTATTTTGGGTCCTTTGAAATTTTATTTTTGCTATTTTGGTACTTGTAATTAAATATTTACTTTTTTTATCATTTTATTTAGTGATCATATTATTCATTTGTATTTATGTTAATCCTTCATGTATGTACATATTTTTATGTTATGTATTTATTTATATCATATAAATAAATATTTTTAACTTTATTTGTTGTGTATGTTTTATTTCGTATATTTTATTTATATTTATTTCCATTTCTTTAACTATTAATGTTATTCGAATAGTTTTAAGAACGCGAATTTGTAAAATGGGTGTGGAAAGTATCACTTTATCGAGGTGGTACATCCAATACGACATTCGAACAAATACGAACTTTAAATAAATTAATTTTATTTTACTAATTAATTTATTTTAATGATGCAATGGGTGTTTTTTATTATTAACAATTTATTTCATTTTATACAAATGCAAATTGTCAATCTTCATTCATATTCAATTCATATTTTTTAAATCAATGAGGACAAAATATTCTTTAACAATGAAAAATAGTTGAAATAGCTTTCCCAACGGAGGATTGTTAATTTCAAAATTTTTTATCAAGTTAAAGGATTTTCTTCAATTAATTAATTTTAAAGTAAATTAATCATATTTCAATAAATGGATAGTAATTTAACTTTATATTCGATTTGTAATTTCCACTATTACGACAATGTGTAAGTGATACAGTACCAGTTTTTGGACGCTATGGGGTGCTAATCCTTCCCCACGCGTAACC